CTTGTGATCTTGAAGTGTTTAGTCTGGCTGGCCTCTCAAACCATGGGAATTGTGCTCTTCTCAGTAGGTTTAACAGCCCGTTTTGTGGCAGGCCAGTCAGATGGGTGAAATCTGTGTTAAATTCAGCATGTTGTTGTTGTTGTTGGGGTTGTTCCAAGTCCATGACCATGTGCTGAGCACTGGTGATAAACCTGCAGCTGGCACCTTTGGTGGAGATTGACACCCCTCATCACCCCAGTACAGGTCACCCCTCACAGGGTTGGGAGATACTGACACCCCTCATCACCCCAGCGTAGGTCTCCCCTCTCAGGGACGGGAGATACTGACACCCCTCTTCACTCCAGCACAGGTCACCCCTCACAGGGTTGGGAGATACTGACACCCCTCCTCATCCCAGCGCAGGTCACCCCTCTTGGGGATGGGAGATACTGACACCCCTCACAGGGACAGGAGTTAGTGACTCTGCAGCACAGGTCACCCCTCCCAGGGACAGAAGATACTGACGCCCTTCTAAACAGATGTTTCTCAGAAGCCCGTCTCTCCTCTAGAGTAAGGGTCTCCAGTCCCAGTCCAGCATATTTTACAGGTTAACATTAAATCATTAGGTTCTAATGCTTTCAACAATTCATTGTGATCAATACACTCATTGTTAAAGTGATTTAAAGATTATTTAAATTAAAAAAAATCTTATTACTGGTGAACCCTCAAATATCAAATTTCCTTTAGTTCCCAATCTTTAGAAGACTGGTTAATGTTTCCTGGATTAAAGCTCCCGTGGAGCCAGTGTGAAGACCCATGGCTAGCAGGAGCCAAGGCCACAGCTGACCCGATTGTGTCCTGTCCAGGCACAGCTGTAACAGCTGCGCTGTTGGACGGGTGTTCATGAGTACTCCATGCGGCTGATAGCCAGTGCACCTCAAAACATGGCTCTCACTGTGGTCTTCCTTTGGGACTTCCAGAGGTCAGCTGGTATGGCTGCTGTTGGGGATCACGACACAGGTAGAGCCATCTCCACCGAAAGCCTCTGTGTCCTATTTGGCAGTATGGGATCACCATGGTTTAGACGCGTGTCCCACATATGGGTTTCTGTGCTGAACAAAGACACAAAGGACACAAGTGGAAACTACTGTATATGGAGATGCATTTAAAAAGGAGTGCAAGAGGCACTTCTTCACACGAAGCATTGTGGGAGTTGAAAGTTGCATAGGCAGGCAGGAATGTTTGCCGCTGTGAAAATGGAGCGCGGACCCAGTATCTGCAGCAGCTCTTAAGAGTTCATTCCAGTACGGAATGGCATGACGCTTCTGCAGATTACGCAGTATTTTTTTCCCCTGATATAACGTGTACAGTTTGTATCATCCATTGTCCAGACCTGTGGTTTACTGTGCTCTAAGCCTGGCCTGCTGTGCTCTTCTGCACTTCAGCCTTACCATGCTGCAGCTTAGAATTGTTCAGCAAATTAGTTCATAGAATCATTGTAATGACATGAGCATATGGAAAGCAATGCTAGAAGTCTCTCTTTGCCCATGGGTGATCTTTGCTTTGATTCCAGGTAGATTTGGGCTGCTGGTTTGGCTCTCGTATGGGGCTGTATAGGTCTGTGAGTTGCTGGTCTCCATGGCCTGACTCCAGCAGCCTCTGCCACACAGCCTCTGCCACACAGCCTCTGACAAAGGCTCCTGTGTGCCGGACCTGCTGCAGGATCAGGCCATGTGATACATGTCCAACTGCAGCTCCTCCCAGGACCATGGGGCTGCTTATAGCACTGACCCAGGCTGCAGGACTGGGAAATGGCAGAGGCTTCAGAGAAGGTTTCCAGTCAGTGAGTAATGCAGCTACAAGACTGGCTGACAAAGAGAGAACGCTGTTCAAGCCCATTTTACAGAAATCCCAATATCTCACCCAGCTGTCTCTTTACGGACCCCAGAGTGTCGACTTTAACAACATGATTGGACAGACACCTTGATGCTCACAAGATCATCCCATTTTCAAAAAGCATGTTTTCTTAATGAACGTGTTTCAGAATGCATTTTTCATTTTAATTCTATTTTTAATGCTTTCAGTGTTTGTTTTTGGGAGTGTGGTCCCATGTGTGTCCTGGGAGATTAGCCCTGTGCTGCAGTGCTGCGCCTGATGCCTCTCAGAGTGCATTGACAGGGACATGAACCCTTCTGTGCATGATGGACAGACTATTAGTGGATGTGAAATGGTGAACCACACGCAGTCTGCCTTCACCTCAGTCCCTGTCTAATAGGTGTTATTTAATAAATTCTCTCTGATATTTGGAATATTTTCAGTTCTGCAAAAAAAACTGTGAAAACCTTTACATACACACCTCCAGTAAGTAATATCACAGATCCTATCATGTGATGGAGAGTATCAGAGCAGCTTCTATTTTTGTATTTGTATTTGTGCCTCCTTGCCATCTCGTTGCTGTGTAGCAGGTGTGCACTGACCCCTGTGCTCAGTGGGGAATTGCTGTGAAAGTTGAATTGCAAGAGCTGTGGTGTGGCCAGCCTCAGCACTCGCACACAGAACAATTTCCTCTTTCGTTTTTTTGTTTTAAAGGCTGGAGTGGAACAGCCCAAACATGAAAGACCATGGAAAAACTCATGGCAGGGTGCAGAGCCTGCCAGCGCGTAGCCAGCCTTTTCCATCCTCTGTCCAGCCATTCACGCTGTGATCTTATCAGTGTGGAGTGGGAGGCAGGGTCAGACAATGCATTCATTTCTGAGATACAGATCATTTAACATTTCATCATCCCAGATGACTGCATAGAAGGCATATAAAAAACCCTTTTGTTCAGGTCAGAGACAGCAGGCTGAGTGCTGGAAGGAACTCAGATATTATAAAGGCAGGCAGGGGAAATACTGTGTGCATCTGTGCCGATCCTGTCCTTCGGCCTGTCTGACGTTAATTAAAGTTATACCTGCCTCTTCTGCATTATTGCAGCCTGCCGCGCAACCTTAGGATAAAACCATTAAAGGAGGCATAGAACAGTGATTGGTGATTTTTCTGAAAATATAAGAGAGCATGCTAAAATGGAGGAGAGAAATGCATAGTGTTTTAAAGGAGCAGAATATGTATTTGTGTAAAAAACTGTTTAAGATATTCTACTGAACGTTTCTTAAACGTGTCTGTCAGCCCTCATTGTCAAGTGTAGAGTCTGAAACAAGGTTTGTTAGTGTTGGCCTGATGTGCTCCTGGTAGGGGCTTATAACACAGGATGTATTGTTTTAATTGGTATTCTCCTTGGGCAGCTTCCTGTGCACAGAAAGGAAAGTACAAATGACAAGGTTCCAAGCTGTCAACCTATAATTGGTATAAATTCTAACAATTAAAATTCTTTTTTATTATAGCTTTTTCTGTGAAAGTCTAGTTTCTTGTTCCCATCTTTGCTTGACATGTTGACAGATTGCTGGGAACAGAAGTGTCTAATTGGGACAGTTCTCTTTGCCTTGGCTGGAGCAGAGAGGTCCTGAGGCTGGTGAAGTCCCTGGGGAGGGTGGGAGTTTGCAGCAGTGACAGGCAACAGTATGGAGAATGCTGCAGGTGGAATTTCATCAGGAGAACCGATCTGCATGAGTCCCTTTTCTCATTCTGAAGTCTCCTGTAGTTCCCCTCCTAACTTGTTGATTGTGTTTGGTGCCTGTCTAAGAAAAGCAATCATTCTTCCATTTTCTACGTTATTACTAGAATTGATGAGACGCACAGCAGACTGCTGTGCATTGGCACATTAATACTGACCGGTTCAGTGTAACAGTTTGGCTGTTCCCCCAAGAAAAGGATGTTCTAACCAGGCAATGTAGCACCATGAAAGCCTGCTGGAAGCATCACAAAATTGTATTGGAGTGCCAGGAGGAATCCAAGCTTCGCTAAATACTGGCTGGAATTCAGACCACAGTTGCTTGCTGCCCTGATTGGTCAGACATGCTCCCTGGTGACAGCGAGTCCCGTCTGATCTGAAGTGCAAGGGAGATGCTGAGTCTGTTTCTGGACACTGGTCCCAGCATATTCACGGGGGTGTTCCTCTGCAGCCCAGCATAATACCCAACTTCTCATTCTCAAGGCCGGCACAACATGGTTTTGAACCACTGATGTTTGGGTGGGTATGTGCAGTCTTAATTGAGCCATCTTTATTTATCTTTGCTATTAATTCAGTGGCAGAACTGATTTGTGAAGATAAGCCTGGTTTTGGATGAAGCATGTGCACGTTGATAGTTATTGAAACATTCCTATCAGGAAGACAGCAGGAAACAAATACACCATCTTTAGTAAAGACACTCTGGAGCTTTTCAGAGGTGTCTGAAAGAGTTAAGTGATTGTCTTTGTGGTTGCAAATGAGCCTGTATCTTTACTTCCTGTGCAGACTAGACTGGTCATCAAGATCCTCACGCATTCTTAAAAAACCTAACTTTCCTGTTTATTTTTAGCTTTCGTTCATCTGAAAGCAACTTCCTTAGGCTGGGTTTAGTTTGGAGATCAAGGAGATCTTATTTTCTAGTCTCTTTGTCAGTTCTTAAATTAAACTGTTACCATTGTAGCTTGTTGTTTACAAGGATTCCATTAGCGCAGTGCTGGGCGTCTGTGCAGGAAAGAGGGTCTGTCCTGTTCTCCTTCCTTCCCCAGTCATTGGTTTCACACCCAGCAATTTGTAATTCGGATGTAGCGGCATTTTTGCAAAATGCTGTTGAGTGGAGAACTGTAGAGTTTTTGCAAGTTAAATGTCAAGATTGAAAAACTTCTCCATTGATTTTAAACTCGATGCTATGATAATCGCTGGTAATGTTATCATACAGAGTAATATTGTGATCTGGTGCTAATAGTGAAGTGCTAGATATGTGTGTGGGACTGTAATTGCAGGGTAAATCTCACTGGATAAATGTCTTATTGCAATGTACAGCCTTATAGAAGGGAGAGCCCCCCGTACACCTGTCTCCATCCCTTCAGACTGGCACGGAGACGAGCCTGCTGCATGTTCACTGCTCTTCATTTCGCAGCGCGAAGAGGCCAGCGGGAGTGAGCAGCGTCCTCAGCCGCATTGGGGGCAAGAAGCAGAAGATGAGCACGCTGGAGAAATCCCGGCTGGACTGGGACTCCTTCAAGACCGAGGAGGGCATCGGGGACGAGCTTGCCATCCACAACCGCGGGAAAGAGGGGTGAGTCGCTCTCCGAGGTGCCCCCGGGGGTGAAGAGGGCTGATTGTTTGGTTCAGGTCTTGGATGGGTCTCTGATGGCCAAATCATTCTTGTATCGCGAGATGCAAGGTGCGTTTAGCGGTAGACGCGACCACTTTTCAATAGAATACACATCATGCCTGATTATATTTGTACCAGTACCTCTGTTTTGAACAGTAAAACATAAACTGGTTGAGATGAATCAAAAGTGCTTGGAAGTGCATTTAAAACTGAGAATAGGAAGCACTTTGAATACAATGGGTTGTGGGAGTCTTGAACAAGCCACCCAACCAAGTGGTTGAAGGCAATCCTTTGTCTTCTGTCTAGAAATGGCTGAATCAGATCCTTGGATCTTCCACATCATCTTGAGTAGCGAAGGGCCTCCAGTTATTAGTCAGGCACTAATTAATGTGATCCCCTGAAACCTGGAGGAACCCGGCACACTAGGACAAAGGTACCTCTAACTCTGTGGGTGCATGTGTCTCTTGATCTACACCACAATGCCATGCTGTAAATGTTGAATCCAGTTTTAAAACCAGAAACGGCAAACCAGTTCTTCTATTAGTCCACTGAAGGCTGTCGGGGCAGGGGGCACATCTCTGTCTGACGAAATTAATCACCACACTCTCCGCTCTTTTGTGTTTTGTTTTTTGTTAATGCTTCAGCGCGTGCTGATCTGAGACTCCTAGAGAGCCTTTGCTTGTCCTCCACTGAGAAGAAATCAATAAAATGGCAAAATAGATTCTAAAATAACACAAGCTATGTGTCTGGGAAACAAGTCTGTGCCTGCCTGAAGTGCGCTGTGTTATAAATATCAGCCACTAGTCCCAGCACCTGTTTTCCATGCTGTCTGTCCTAGGTGAAGAACTGGTCACAATTCTGTATTGTCACAGGACTATATAGTTGCAAAGGCTGCTTCTGAGCAGATAAATAATTAACCAGTTATTTCAGTTCTTGGCAAATGACCTGGGAATATGTCCCAGGTTTGTTTTGTTCTGCTTCATAAAGTTAATGGAGTGATTGTGGTCTTGCATAAAAAAAATCATAAAAAATTAATTGATATGCATGATCCATTTATGTGCAGGCTTTGTATTTCAAATAATAGTTCGCTACATCCAGTGATTTTTAATTTCCGGTTATGGGAAATACAGGGCAAGCACCGTACTGCAGAGCAGCCCTGCCTCAGTTGGGGTTGATTTGAAAGCTTTTAGTTAATGAAAGGGATTGAGTGTGTGGCAGCCGTTTTGTCTTGGATTACGTCAGTCCCAGCTCTCTGTCTGAAACAGAAATCACCTGCCGTGTCCAGGTAGGTACGCCTCTTTCGTGTTCATGGGCAGCAAAAATTAAATTGAAGATTTTATCATGCTGTCTGTTCCCTTAGCAGAGCTGAACTTGCTGTGTAGTTGAATTGGTGCTTAAGGCCTGAAAATTGGAATGACCCTCATCCTTTGGCATACCTCTGATCCAGGGCTACACTGCACTCAGCTGCCCAAGTGAATTAAGAATTAGCCTTTGCATTATTTCTTGTACTAATGCACATAGAAAGAAAAAATTAAATGCAAAGAGTATGCCAGTTTGGGTGGGGTCACAAGTCACATGATCCTATCCTGCCTTTACATGTACTAATTGTGCATTAACACAAATGCAGTAGTTAAATATGTGATTTGCTTTCACATAATTCCTGTGACTAGAAGTGGTGCTGGGGGGGGATCAAGTTCAAGTCACAGGAATTTCACTTCAGCTGCCCCACTCTGATGTTCATTGTGTGTTTAAAGTCCTGCCAACAACACATCTGTCGCTCTCCTCCGGCTGAGTCCCGCTGTTTAAATCTCCCAGGCTTCATCTTGCTATATCTGGGAGCCAGAGTGAACAGCTGTGGATTAAGGATTTTTTTTGGTCTGCTTTTTGAGTTTCCATTTGGCCCGCGAGGCCAAGGGATGGAAGAGGAGGCAGACCAGACAGTGTGTCGGTCAGGTGCGACGCTGCTCTCGACTGCAGCTGCTGGGGAAGGTAGGCAGTGTGGGCAGAGCTGGACTCGTGCTGGAGGCGTCTTGTCCTGCGCCAGGTCTGGCAGAGCTGCGGCTACCGTTAACAATCACAGAGCTGACTCCTCCGGCCTATTGGTGCCATCACTGCACTTTTAAACATTTAGCATTAGTTATCACAGTGTAGAACCACATTAGAGGCAACGGCAACGCAAATGGTTTTGTAATGAAGGTAGTCCTTCAGAGAGAGTTAAGAACATAAGACCATTTACGAGGAAGAGGAGGACGTTAGGATTATCTAACCCATTTGGCACTTTCTGTAATAATCCAAGAGTCTTGGTCCAGCCAGGGAGTTGGTGAGGGAGTGAGAAGGAGGACAAGCTCTCCTGTGCTTCACTTGACAGACTGTATAGCTGACAGTGTTGGTGGGGAGAGTCCCTTTTTTCTGTTACCAGTTCATGTTGTTCAGGTGCAGAAGAGGACTAAAATAAAGCTTTTTTTTTTTTTGCTGCATTTATCAAGAAGGATATTTCGGCCCCAGATGCCCAGTACTGAGGTGAAATTAAATGGAACAATGTGTACCTATTTTCCACTCAGCAACACAAGCTGACAGTGTGCCGGCTGGTCCATTAGATAAGGGAAAGGGCCTCCTGCAGAACGTTCCCACAGCCTGCTCTGTGTCCCTCCAGGGACTCACTGCTGACACTTGCCAGTCACTGAGCCACCTTGTGCTTCAGCCTTCAGATAAAACGAGATGCTGGTGTCTTGCTTGGAAACAAGCACTGATTCCATAGCAAGCAGTTTAGCAGATTGTTGGTCAAACAACTGATGATCATTCTTGTTACATCATGGCTTTGCTTTTCTAAACAAACAGTCCTGTTTAAACAATACAGTCTTGAGCATTTGGTGTTCAGCTCACTTTATTTTTTTACATTTCGAGAAGATTTGGCCTCTCATCAATGTGCTTTGCACAGCACTGCAGTTTGGGACCTGCTGCTTCATAGTTAAAAACTGTAGCATCTGTGTGCTGGATTGCTCAGTGAAAGAGAGCTTTGTGATCGCAGTGCGTAGGCAGCCTGGGGTGGCACTGGAGCACAGAATCTTACATCGAGCAGTACAGCCACACACGGGCTTCTGCACAATAAGAATGTCCTGCGTGTTGCCCAAGAACAGAACGACAGTGTGCAGCTCACGTCTGTTCCTGCTTGGAGTGAGGCAGGCAGGGATATCCCTTCTCCACCTGTGGGGAGAAAAGCCCTGTTCTGGGTGGTGCGAGGACTGTTGTGAGAAGGAATAAAGACTGGCCCTAGAGCTTAATGTACTGTAATACAAAAAAAAAACACTTGATACAGAACACAAAGGTGGTAATAAGATCTACAAACAAAACCTGCGATGACATTACATTTGCGCATGCAGTTGTCCTTTTTTGTAAAGCCCCTCTGAAAACGGAATATAATTAGTGACTTTGTCTGTGACCAGGATAGTTTGGGATATATAGAGGCTTTAAATGAAAACTAATAATTAAATGACATGTATGATTCCCACATAGTCGCATGTGATACGTGCCTGTGGGCTTGACAAGGACAGGGGCTTTGCTGCACAGAGCTGCTGTGGAGTGAGTGCGACTCTGCGCTAATTAGTTCTCAGACGTGCCAGGCGGCTGTGGCAGCAGGGCTGGGCAGAAGGCTCTGTGAAACACACCAACCTGAAGCGCACGCACCGCTAACACTGCGCTGTGCTCTTCGTGGGAGTGTAAACACTTTTATCGATGAATCATAAGCTCACCACTAAGATCACATTTCTAACCAGCTGACACCCTCGGTTAATTCCTTCCAAAAGACCCGTTCGCTTTTCTCTTGATGAGTTTGCAGTGTGAATCGGGGGGGAGTTGTTTGGCTCTGGCCGAGATCTGCGTTCCTGTGAAGAGACCGTGCCGCTCTGCGCGTCCTGTTGCCCGTGCTCTGGGCCGCAGTGCAGGCAGGAGGCCGTGAGCGAACCGCTGGCGCAAACTCGACTGTTTTGCCACAAAGCCTTCTGGTCATTTAATAGGTGGAAACTTTTGGTTTTCTTCTGCCAACTCAAATTAATGAATCAACGTTAAAAATTCAACACTGTTTTGTGTCGATGCTCCTCCTCGGGATGTGGGTCCTGCTGGGCAGTGTCGACCCATCGGCCCTGAGCAGCCAGATGGGCTCGTTCCTGTGGTGTTTGCTGTCATAACTGAGCACAAACTGACGGCGCGGACCTGTTGTCTTTGCAAGTGTGTGGTTATTTCTGCTGTGGCTAATGCTTCATAGTCGCCAAAGTGTAGCAGAATCATTTAGCTCCACACAGCTGGAGCAGTTCTGCCTCCAACCTTTTTCACCAAATGCTGGAGGCTGGAGCGTGAGACTCAGCCACAGAAAGCCCGCAGTGGGGAGGGGGGGCTCCTCCTGGAGTCTGGCGAACGTGATGCCTCGCGCTGGTGACGGCATTATTTTTCCAGCAGCTTCGTTCTCTTGAGCCAGTCAGGTTAATTGGCAGTAAAGCCCTGGAGGGTTGTTGTCAGACCTGCAATTAAAACGCATCTGTACGTCATCGAGAGAGTCTGAATGTAGGCCAGGCAGGAGCCAGGAGCTCCAGTTTAAATCAAGAGCCATGTGTACTCCCGTGATGGGGCAGGTGGTTGAACCCAGGAGAAGGTTGTGGTGTCCTACTTGTGGCCTGAGCCGTCAGGAACATTGTGTTTTCTTGAGCACTTCAGATTCATCAGGAAACGCATCCTGTGCGTCTTGCACGCGACTGCGTCACGAGTTGAGTCGTGAGAGGGTATCAAGTTTAAGGTTAGACGTGCACATTCCTGGTGCCATTCAGGAAGTAATGCATTGATTATGCATTAAGTGTAATTTTTTTACAAAATGAATAATTTATAGAGCTGATAATGTATTACCCTCTTTTGGAGGTCCAGGTGTATGCCGGTGGGAAGGCTGTATGGACAACAGATATGCTAATGGTATTAAGTGATTTTACACCCTTCTGTAGACATGTAAATTAAATGAGGATCATTTCATCTTTGCCTGATTCATAAAACAGATTTTGAAAGTGATCCAAAAAAAAGGCACAAGATATTTTATGCCAGCGTTGAAAGGCTGCCTTTAATATGGAAAGTCATAGGGACATTTAAAGGTGTCCCTGAGCTCTTGTTTTGTGTAAACGATACACAGACCACTGCAGCAATCGGCTTGCTTGCATCACAGCTGTATGGTGACTGGAACATTTGCTCTCTGAGTTTCCACTGTAATGTTTCTAAGTAAACCACCTTGTAAAGAACTATGAATCCATGCTGTTTACAAAATACCCATCTTGAAAAACGTCACCCATATTGCTTATATGTAAACCAATGTGCATCGTGAGGGCAAGGGGTTGTGTCCACACTCCTGCATCCTGCCTCGCTCTGCAGCCACAGTGGGCGTGGTGCTTCCCTTGACATCGCCATCATTACGTCATAGAAGCACTCATGGCTCCTGTCCTCCAAGCACCAGGCAGGGCGTCTCTGCAGCTGTCAGAACCCAAGCTTCGACTGAGGCCGGGGAGTGGAGAATTGCAATGCTTGAGTGTGCTGCAGCTGGAAAGAGAGCAATGAGTCCTGGAATTCGAGATTGATTTCTTGAATGAAGAAGCAGGGTTTAAAAATGTGATTGCTTTCTTGTGGCTTATCTCATCCATACACGTCAGGTGAATGACATGGACTGAAGCAGAGGGCAGACCACAGCCTCTGTACTGCACTTGATTTGCAGTCCTGTGTTAGAGACAGGGCCTTGTATGCCAATTCACACTTGTATGCCAAAATCTGGGGCTGCTGTCACTACAGAATGTGCTTAATGCCACATGCTTTGATGCTTTGATGGTCTCCCTGAAGCCACTTGCTTCTGAGCTGGGTCAGGTTATGGCATCAGAGCAGATCCTGTACAGCAACTCGGCATATTGAAACAGAAGGATATGGATCTGTGCCAATGATGCCTCCTTCAGCACCATCAGGTTATTTGACAATAAAGTCAATGCTGGCCAGATTACTCACTCCAGGGTGTGACGTCGTGTTGTGTTCATGTTATCTTGCAAATCTGTTTTCTTGAATCTATCCAGGCTCTCATTAACAAAATCTATGCATGCTGCACTGTTCAGCTAGCATTTTCCTCCATGCACTGTTTTTTCCACAGTTAATTTACAGAGACCAGATGCCTGTGGTATCAGGACCTCATAAAATAAAAATCTCTTTGCTACAACAAGCTTCTGGATTATTTTAATATTATACAGATTGCCTATTTTAAGTCCTGTATTTGCACTCTGAGTAATCTGGATCTCATTTGGAGACCTGCATGCGAGAGGAGTGCATTGACATGCATGCGTGTTGTAGACTCCACCCCACTCCTTGTCTTTCCCCAGGTGAGTGTTCTGCAGACAGCAGCAGGCCTGTCTCGGCAGGAGCGCAGGCCAGCAGAGGGCTTCTCTGTCGTCTAACTTTGCCGCGAGCCCTGGGAGTGTCTGCCGGTCGTCATCCTTTGTTTTTCCCTCATCCCTCAGGTATGTGGAGAGGAAAGCGTTCCTGGAGCGGGTGGACCAGCGCCAGTTCGAGCTGGAGAAGAGCCTGCGACTCGGCAACATGAAGCGGTGACAGTGGGACACGCCCCTCCGCTCTGGAGCCCCAGTCTCCGTGCAGCCCCCCTCAACTGTCCATTAGCTTTTGCCCATTATTGCTTTCCTTTCTGAACTTTGTTTTAACATTTTTATTTTGTTTTGCCACACTCTTTCCTCCTCTCCTTGTCGGAATGTGTTCCCAAGGAAGAAGTGATCTCCCTTGGGACTGAAAACCACTTATCTTAGCTGCTCCATCAGGAAGCCATTGTCAGCTCTTGCCTCTGCCGACCCCAAGGGCAGCGGGGGGCCACGGCGAGAGGAGAGGAGGAGAGCCGAGAAAGCGAGGAGAGAGTGAATCTGTCACTGGGACACTTTAACTCTGATTAATTAAGTACGGAGTTCATAAGAAGTCGATGTTGATCAACACCTGTGGGTACAGAGTCTAAAATGTACATTATCCTGATTAGTCACTTATTGTGAAATATGCTCTGTGAATACTGTGCTTTTGATGAGTCATCGCATTACACCAGTATCAGATTCTGATTTCTCTTCCTGTGCTCTGTGCTTTCAAACCTGCACTAGCAGCAGTACTTCTAGAGAGAGGAGGATATTGTGTTTGTAGTTTCTTGTTGTGAATCGTTCAGTTGTGGATATGTTTTTATACACAGTGCAGGCAGTGAGTGATGTTAGACTCTGTATTTCCATGTGGGAAGTTTTTAGGCTTGGGTGTTTTGTCAGTGTGATGATGGGTCAAGGTTGTTGTTGCTGAAAGTTTTGGGGTGTCCGCTGAGCATCCGGCACACTGCAGGTGACCCCAGTGTTGGACCTGCTCAGCCACTCAGGACACGTCAATGGGCAGGCTGCTGCCCATTCCCCGTGTGTTCTTATCCTGACATGAATAAAAATGGACATCTGAAGTCACGTGCAGGCCCTGCTCTCGTTTTTGTTTCTCCGGCTGCCTCCGCTGTGATGGGCCGGCTCTTGCCATGGCTGTCCCTGCTGGCGGCGCAGGGCGGGGCGTGTCCTGACCTGGCACAGGACGCTGCGATCACCCTGCGCTGCCAGCCTGCTGCTTGTTATGATTGGTTCTGCTCCTCCCTCACAGTGTCTCTGTGTGGTGGAAGCACTGTTCGCTCTTGACCTGTATGTGCCTACTGCCTGTTAATAACCGCTGTGGGCCTGAGAGCTCAACCACGTCTAATCTAATAAGCAAACACAGACTGTCAAGTGCAAACAGTGACTTGTTTCACAGGCAGCGATACTCCCAGCAGGCCGCAGCTGCCAGCATGTGATGTCGAGATGCTTTTGGTCAGGCCATTTTCTCCATCCACAGATTAGTGCATTTAATAATTCAACCTGACATTGCAAAGACAAGGTAAGTCTGACATCTGCCCTGTCCTGATTGTTTGGGCGTGCCTTCACAGGGATTTAAACACGGTCAAAGAGCAGTGTTCGGGTCTCAGTTTCTCGCTTGGCACTGTAGCAGATGCGTGCAGATCATGTGTGCCCTTCACAGCGACATCGACTGCTCCTCGTGAACTCTGTTTCTCCACGAGCAAGCAGGGGAGAGTGTAGTCCTTCCCGCGGCCTGTGAACTCTGCCGTGAACGTGCTGCTCTGGACCGGGGACAGAAGCAGAGGTCCAGGCAGTGAGGGGCGCTGGGAGAGCCACCCAGGTCTGCCGGCCTTGACAGGTGCTCCTCTTTGCAGGACCCCTGACGTCCCAGCTGGCCCCCCCAGACCCTGCAGTGACACAGTTCACAGTCCCCCCCCAAAAGGGAATGGCAGGACAGGAAGAGCTACAGAGCCTCCGTGCAGCTCACTCCTTTCCTCTGCAAGCTGAGTCTTCACCCAGCATGGTCACACTCTGTGTTCAATTCTTCTGTCTTTTCAAACACGTCATCCATATCTGTGAAGGAACTGAAATTCCTCATCATCAGGATTTTGCTCGGCACTTGCTGAAGTCTTTGCAGTGATCTGGGGGGAAGCAGAGGTCCAGCATGGGACCTGTGTCACTGGGGGCTTTGTATTCCAGCAGCTGCTTGTGACGTATCCCTGGGTTTTTCGTTGCTTCAACAGAGGGGTTTGCAGAGAGGGAAATGTCTCTTTATTCCATCGCCTGACTGGCAAAGCTCAATGCTGTTGGTTTAGGATCATTTCTGCTCTAACAGCATGTGGGGAAAAGGATTTCATCTTGCAGCTCTGAGTCTGTCTCATACAGGCGTGACTCCAGAACATTCACAAGGCATAGTCAGTCCTATTAAAAACCTTCTTTTAACTTGCTCTTCCCTCAGGAGTCGGGTGCTATTGAGATGTGATTGTAATGCTTTTTTTTTTTTAGTGCACCCACGCTGCTGAAAATACCACTGAGATCACCCATTGATTTTCCCCTCCCCCTACATTTTACTCTCCCCGCTTTAATGCATAAGCTCCCAAATGAGATCAATATCTACTTCTCAGTTTTACTTTATTAAAATAATAGTATTGCCACTACCTTCTAGCAATATCTGGGCAGCAAGGCTCAGTAGGAAGATGTTGGAGAGGCTGAGCCTGGGCAGCAGTGAGACAAGAGACCTGCAGGGAAAATCAAGTTCCTGCTGTGGGTGTTGTTGGTAAACCAGTAAGTGGTGCTCTTGCCCCTTGGAGCAGAATTCCCAAAACTGTGACCCAGCTTAGTGACCCAGAGACAGTGTGCTGTAAGGTTCTGTCCTTTGGGTGAGATCTTAAACTGAGATCCTAAGTACTTGCTCATTAAAGGTCTCATGACATTATACGTAACAGAAGAGTTATTAACCCCGGTTGCCTCCCCAGTTCCCCTGAACTGGGTCACCTCTCTGCCTGATCACCCTCTCACCTGGTCTGCTGGCTCCCCAGGTGTGGCTGTACTACAGAAGTAGCCGAAGTGGGTCCCTCCTGTAGGTGAAGCCCTTTGCAGGTCTCGGAGGCGAGGCGCACTCTGTGACTGTAATTATTGTTACAGAATGAAACGCCACCAGGGATGTTTCTGTGTTTCAAGGTCAGGATCCTAATTACATTTCAAACCAGCACTCAGAAGAAAAGCGAAAAGGGCAGGGGGTGTGTTTGTCTCCCTCTTCTTTAAGAAGTATCCAGTTCTGACAGCCCAGCATGCAGGTATAGATGAATCAGCTCTTGAGGGAAGAGTGTGAAGGCTTCAGCAGGGTCTCGGAATTGTTTCCTGTTTCACAGTGTAAAAATGTTCCTGCAGCCAGACTCGGGTATATAAACTGTCCAGGAGTCACAGCTGTCAGGGTTGCTTTCATGCTTTGGGCTTTTGCTGTGACACGAAATAAAACAATCAAATCCACTGGCACCTCCCACACACATCTGGGATCCTCTCTTCTGCGTGTTCCGTGACACAGCAGGGGGGCTGCTCTCCCTGGGGGGCTGTACCTGTTCCTCTCCTGCCCGCCCCTGCAGCCCCAGGGGGGACAGCTTGTGTCTCATCTCGGGAGCGGTGCTGCAACAGCCCGATCCCTGGGGGGGTTCACTTCACCGGTGAGGTGCTGCTGCTGCTCACAAGGCTTTGATTTCGGTACTTAAAAAATGCAAAAGAAAGGGGGAGGAACCTGCGTGCTCTGATGTGCTCTCAGGTGTAGTTCTTAATTCTTTTGTGCTAGACGTTCAGCGGTTCAGCAATCCGCTCACTACTTTCACTGCATGACTGCTTACCACAGAGAGCGACTTGTAAAAACAGGACAACATTTTGACACTGAAGTGTCTTTGTCAGGAACCGGCACATGAGAGCAAGAGTGTGGAACATCATTTGTTAGTGGCAGAGGCTTTGTGAGCTTCCTGTCTGCTTTGATGCTGCGGCTCTCCTGTGAATAATTCAAGTAAACAGCAAAGAAAGATTTGCACAGTCTCAAAACCAGTGGAGGGTCCCCAGTCCTGACCTCTGGGCAGGGTTTAAAGCACCCACACATGAAGAGCTGACACACCTGCAGGACTGATTACATTGGAGTTGGGCTGTGCAGGACACCCCAGTGCTAACAGGGGTATTGGAAGATTTCCTAATGGGTCACCACTATGACAGGACCCGTAAAGTTAATACTAGATTTTTCATTACTTTTGTGTTCACGAGTCTCTCCAGTCAGTTCCTCACGCCAGTCCTAATGAAAACCAGCAAACTCAGTACAAAGGCTTGATTGTTGGGGCTCAAGTTCTGGACATCAGTTTTTAAACCTAAACCTGTGTTTGTGGTACAAGATTTCCTGCATTGCTCTGCAACCTGGCGTGCTCTGTGTTTATCTGTGAGTACAGCTGCAGGGACAGCCGCCTGTGACACTTATACACGTCTAGAAATGGAGTTTGCAGTTATTCAGGATTTCATAGGGTAGAGGTGCCATTGTTGCCAGATATATCTGCAGTAACAGTAGCAGTAACAGTTTTTAGTAGAAGGAGAGCAGTTTATTATTTCTTAGCAATTAAACAGAGCCTTTTAGCCCAAATGAGTCCAACGCTAAACCTGTGTAAGAGGGGAACCCTTTCCATCCCTTAAGCGCAGCACAGATCTCAGACGTTTATGGGACCTCATCTGTGACTGTGATACATTTTGAAACAGGAGGCTTGTTCAGGCGCACGAAGATGTAAGACATCCTGGGATCACAGTGAAAATCCATGATTGATGACTTTCATGTAACTGTTTCCAACCTTTACGGTAATGACACGAAACTAACTGCGTTCATTGCAACCAAGGACTGAACATGCCAGGACCATATACTGTACTGGATGTGCTGTTAGTGCTACAGCTGATAAGTTATCGATATTAGCCAGAGTGAGAACAGGCATTTTACAGCCGACAGAAAATGAAAAAAGCGTTCCCTTTAAAGAGCCGTGCTGGAAAGCCTATGTTAAAAGCGCCTGCGCCCCCCGCCTCTCCCCCCTCCGGGAGACCATCCCTTTAAACCGAACTTGCTGATTCCGTCCTCGCGGCCAGAGAGCAGCTCCGTGTCTGCTGCGCCGGAGTGACATTTACTGCCGCAGATCCGGGCGCCGGAGCAAGCGGCTCAGGGAGCGATTGCATAGGAGACCCTTTACGCTTCTAGTACCAGACTGAGAAGGAGAGAGAAGAACAACCAAGGGACTGGTGACATTTAGGAGAAGAGAAGGTGTGATTTGCGGAGCTGAGACAGGGGGGCTCTGTAAATACCAAGTGCACGCGCTGGGCTCGGCTGGAATTGGGAGCTCTGCTTTGCTGGATTTTGGGTGAGACGAACGAAATTCCTGACGTTGATTTCCGACGCAAATCAGACTGAAGATCCTGGTTTTGGCGTGGATAAAGAATAACATACAAACGATAAAAAGCAAGGATGTCATAAGGACGAAAAGCCCCGAGTTGTTTTGACAAAATAGCGTTTTTCTTTTTTTTTTTTACAAGCGTCAAGTACAGTTTCCATCAACCATAACGCAGACCAAGCGGCATATTTCAAAGATGTCTGTGCCGGTAAGTAAGAAACCTAGAGACAAGGAATCCCTGTATGCTGTAAATTCATGAGTCGTGAGGAGGTTCCGAAGGCGGAGAGAGACCGGGCTGAAGTGTACACTATGCGCGGACGAGGCAGTGTGGAAGTCTGCGCCAAGTAGCTCCGCTTGGCTGACTTGTGTGCATTTCTGCTCTCTGTTTATGAGTCCGTGTTGTGGATCTGCTGCTGCGCTGGTCGCGGAGATTTCAGGGCAGTTGTCTGTAATGAAATGTCCTTACCCGAAGTTTCTACTGTGTACCCATCAGAGGCGGGTGGCGTAGCCCCGGCTCCGCCGCGCGGGTGTGCGGGCAGGGCACGGCGGGATGCGCCTGGTGTGTTAGGCGCGCTAGACCTTCTTTTACTGCACGAACTTTCCGTGCGCTGCGTGGATTACTGAACGGCGGTGCGTCCGAAATATCCCACCTGCCCGCACGTCAAACCTAGCTACCGCTCTGATATACAGGTAAGAGGGGCGCAGGGGGCACAGTCCAGTCCAGGTGGGGGGTAGGGTTCTGGTCTTCTTCCGACCTGAGCCCTAATTCCCTAATTACATTACGGCTCATTTTGTGCTTAGTTGATCATATTGAAGCTTTTCCTCGAGAAATTGGATATTTAAATAGACTCAAAACCCTGCTGGACAGCCGTGGAGAATCGGCTTTGAGCGTCCCTCGGTTAAGGTACAGAATACATGATTAATCCGATACGCTGGCGGAAACCCCTCGTTGTCTATGGTTTTGATCTGGAACTTCCGATTTAAAGAAACACTTGTGGATGCTTATGCACTGAGTATACATTTACTGTATGTGCATCATTCGGTGGGTTATAGAGCACATTAGTCATGCTCGCATTGTTAAATGTTTTAGACAAATAATAATTATATCCTTATATAGCCTATTTCTGGACACTCCACTCAAAGCACTTTACTTTGGAGGGGACTCTCCACCACCACCAGTGTGCAGCTCCACCTGGATGATGAGATGGCAGCCGACCTGCACCAGTTCACTCACCACACACGCCACGGTACCACCCCTAGTCTTTTTAAGAAACACCCTGGGATTTTTAATGATCATAGAGAGTTGGGACCTCGGTTTTACATCTCACCTGAAGAGCAGCGCCTTTTTACAGTGCAGTGTCCTTGTCCCTATTAGGACTCACAGACCACAGGGTGAGCACCCCCGACCGGTCCCACTCACACCTCTTCCAGCAGCAACCTCACATTTTACCAGGAGGTCTCCCATCCAGGTACTTGCCAGGCTTACAGCTGCTGAGCTCCAGTGTGCTGCAAGTTGTGAGCTGCAGGGTGATATAGTTGCTGGCAAGTTTTATTTATAGACTTCTTTGTCAAACGTTTGCCAAAGCTTGGAACACGCAAAAGAACAGTGCCCACTGTGGATAGCTGCGAAGACCAACATTTATTACACAAAGGAACAAGTAATAGGTTTATTCCATGCTGAAAAAAAGAAGAAAGAGAACACAACGTTTCGTCGGTGGAGCCTTCTTCAGGTGTCATTTTTACACAATACCAGCAGTTGCCAGGTCAGCATCTTCAGTGTCCGTCAGATCCCAGCTGAATCCGTAGCTCCAGTCAGATCCCAGCCGAATCCGTAGCTCCAGTCAGATCCCAGCCGAATCCGTAGCTCCAGTCAAATCCCAGCCGAATCCGTAGCTCCAGTCAGATCCCAGCGGAATCCATAGCTCCAGTCAGATCCCAGCGGAATCCGTAGCTCCAGTCAGATCCCAG